TGCGACCCTGTATAGGGTTTCCAGTAAGCAGCTGGTAGATTTGAATCGCCAACCTTGTGGTTAACAGTCCAGTTAAAAAGCAGCTTACCTTGCTCACAGCCAATCTGGTATGACCAATTCCCACCACCCCGCTTAATAACCACAAAAACAACCTACCACCAACCCAACAATAACCTACCTTGGTCCCAAAATTTAAGAGAGCAGCAGCAGCAGCTTTCTTGTCTACAAATTCTGAGAGAAACCCTTACTCAGATCCATCTCTGCTCTCTATAAACACCGAGTTCCCCCATCTTTAAATTGGGAGGAAGATGAAGTCTCAGCCTCACCCAATGATTGTTGCTGTAAGTGCAGCCTAGATGGTTCTGACTCATAGCGACCCTGTATAGTTTCCGAGGAACACTGGTAGGTTTGAACTGCTAACCTTGTGGTCCGCATTCCAGTGCTGATCCTGAGGCGCCACCCCAGGAGTCCATGATAGTGGTGGTGGTTATGTGCTATAGAGTCAATTCAAACTCAGTGACCCTGTATAGTTTCCGAGGGGAGCAGAAAGCCTCATCTTTCTCCCACTGAGAGACTGGTAGACTCCAACTGTTGACCTTGCTGTTAGCAGCTCAAACCAAGGCTCAACTGCATTCCTGTCATGTATGGACCACTCCAGGGAGCCGGAACACAGGTCAAAGGACAAGGGAGAATATACATCTAGTAGCCAGGAAACATAACCAGAGGGGAATCACAGCATCACTCTTGCTGTCCCTCCTGAAACACGCTCTCCTCCAGCTCTAACACCCCCACAATTCCTTACTGCAGGCACCATCACTCCCATTTTAGTGCACAGCAGAGAAAAATGGGACAACTTGTCCAAACTCTCAGCTTGTTTCCCAGCACAAGCAAGACCTGATCCCAGGTATACCAGGCCAGATCAGTCCAGAACAGAACCCACACCCTCTCTGAGGATCACTGTCCATCCAGTACCACCTTTGTCTGTACACTCTACACACCCAAGTGTGCCCTTGTCCCCAGCAGTTTATTCCCCACAGTCAGAGGGTAGGGGTCCTGTTAAAAGTGTAGTCAGCTTTCGCCCCTCCTCTCATAACCTGACAGTGTCTCTCACTTCAACTTAGAGCAAGTCAATGTTCTTAGCACCTCATTTCTTACCACTTCCCTCCTCACTCCAGCCTCAGGGCCTTTGCACTCAAGGTTCTCTTTGTCTGTAATGCCCATCAGTAAAGATTACAGCCTTGGAACCCCTTTAAAAGGCAGTCAGGGGTTCTGGTGTGGCGCTGTAGGTTAAGTACTGGACCCCAAGGTCAGTTTGAACTGCAAGATCGGTGGTTCAAACTCACCAGCTACTCCTTGGAAAGTCTACACAGGGTTGCTATGAGTCGGAAGCAACTCAATAGCATTGGGCTTGGATCAATTCGGTCTCCAGTGACTGGCAATGTTACTGGTGCTCAATAAACATGTGCTGTAGGAAGGAAAAAGGATCTGTTTTTATCTGCCTAAAGATGATACACACCAGGAAAATTCATCTGAGGAGACTCTACTGGGTGTAAGCCTTCCATCAGACACCAGATCATCAACCAAGAAACACCCAGGAGAGAAGAGGGCAGAATAAAGCAAAGAGAGGTTGGAGAGAGCCCACAGAAGCACAAGAGGTTTGAGGGGGAGAGTGTGTTGCAGGATAGCCACCACACCTGTTCTGGAGCCTAAGTGTCCCTCTAAGTGGACAGCTTTAGGGGACACAGTTGAGGAGCCTTCGGTTTTTCAGTCAAAAATCAGGAGGCTATGGATGACTTATACCAATTACCAGGACAAGATGTCCAACTATTTTTTAAGCTGATAAACATAGAAATTCCTTGAGTCTCCTTGAGGCCCTTCTCCCAATGGCTGGTGCATAGCCTGCTGGTGTGAACAAAAGCTCAACACAAGCCTGTGTTAAGACAAGCTCAACAGTAAAAATGACAAAGCTACGTGGTGCTGTAGGTTAATGTACTGGACTGCAGGATTGGTTTGAACCACGAGGTAAGCAGTTCAAGCTCACCAGCCACTCCCTGGAAACCCTATACAGAGTCGTTATGAGTTGGAACCAACTCAAGGGCACTTAGCAACTGAAGGCAGGGAGGAAGCCCTAGAATCTACTGGATCCTCAAGGTCATTACCTGGCAGGTTACTTCCCCGCCCCCACCTCAATACCCAACTACTAGATGCTTGGATGGGGACAGTTCACATTTTTATCTCCCCTCTGGCAACACGAAGACACGAAGAATCGATACAGGTCTTGCTTGGAGACCCTGGTCATCATATGCTCTGTTAGAAGTCATGGAAAGAACGGAGGGATCCTAAGAGCGGTATCAAGGCTCCTATTGATAATTACCAACAGCATCTAAACCTCCACATGGTGTCAGTCCCTGGTGGCTATGGGGGGATTTTGGCCCTCTTACTCCTAACTTCTTTCTTTGCACCTGACACCCCAATCAAGAGATCAAGAGTGTTCACTTGACCCCAACTTGAAACAGATTCTTCCGCCTGGAAATTATAATCAGTGGAGACACTGTCAAGCAATCTGAGGCGGTTACTCGAAAGCAGGCACAGAAACTGGATGGGTGTGGGGTGCTCAGTGGACACATGCATCATCCGCCAGTTGGAGAAGCAGGAAAAGGAAATCTGTGGTAGACTACTGAGGCAACAAAGCAGAAATAGATGAAAAGAAGAAACATCCCGAGGATTTCTTCTCTCTTCTTGGGGTTCAGTGGACTCCTGCCACTGGAGACCTCCCTGGTCACTGTGATAAAACCTTCTCCCTGATGATCAGGTTACCTCAAGAGGCATTCTGCTGCCAGCGGGTGACTTAAAAGCTTTAACTGCTCCAGATGAGATCTCAAAGTGCCTACCCACTCCTCACACCCCCACAGGTCTCAAACAGGTTCTTCCTGGGAGGCTGGTGGCAAAGACCTGTGGAAACAAAGCCGCCCACCTGCAGAGAACAGTCTATTCTATGAGCATGAGGCAGAGCTAGCTTCTCAATAAGGCCTCTTTGTAGGGCTTATCAAAACTGAAATAAAAAGAAAGCTTTTGTCCTAATACATGCCAGGGTCCTGCTGCTGTTCTGGGAACATGTGGGTGGGTACCACCTGTGAGGAAAACACAGACTCGGAGAAGAGGCACTGGGAGCCCCTGATGGTGTTCTGGGTCCCACAATCATCTGCTCATCTAAGGAAAAAACTCCAGGGACATTTCACCAAGAGGAGCAGTGAAATGCAGTTCTGCCTACATGCTGGTGCCCAGTCAGGCCAGCAGGCCAGCAGCAGCAGCAGCAGACAGAGGAGCCAAGGCTGACTCCGTCTAGCTTGACTGCTTACAAACTGGGACCAGAAACAACCTCCCAGAGCCTGTCTCCATCCCAAAGGGCTGTGGAAACAGAATGAGCAGCCACTCAGCTCAGGATGCCTGAGTCCTGTAAAAGGGAAGGGTTGCCCTTCCCATTCAGCAGATCAAAAATGATCGCACTGATAAGCTTTTCCTTGACTAGTGCCCCTAAGCTCAGAACTGACTATGACCTATAAGACAACTATTTAAAAAGTCCAAATCACTTCCCAGTTTCAACTGTTCTCTGCAAGATGGGTTTCAAAACCTTCTCCTCTGGCAGCCTTTTTATTACGGCTCTTAACACCCTCCGCCACTGCCCTTATTTCTACCCATGGAGAAGGGCCAGAGAACTAACTACAAGGACATGGGAAAGGGATAGGGGGGATATTGCTGGGTTTTCCCCTCCATGATCTGGGAGAGAAAAGTAGAGCTTATCACTGGGCAGAAAGGAGCTCTGGTAGCATAGTGGTTACAAATTTGGCTGTTAATCTCAGTCAGCAGTTCAAAACTACCAACTGTTCCGCGGGAGAAAGATGAGGCTTTCTGCTCATCTTTACAGCCTCGGAAACCCTGTACAGGGTGGTTAGGAGCCGGAACCGACTCCATGGCACTAAACAACAACATCCCTAGGCAAAACTGCCCAACCTACCCTCCTCCCAGCTATCCAAGAGGAAGGGAGGGGGGGGCGAGGAAGAGGTGGGAAGGAGGAGAAAGGGGAAGGAGGAGGAGGGAAGGTTATTCGTAACAATGAAGGCAGCGCAAAGCACTCCCCCACCCCCTCCCGCCACCAGCCCACACCCAAGGCAGTCTCAGCCGGTTCAACCACCTCTCCCTTCCCCCAAACAACCCAAAAAGACCTAGTATAGGCTGGGAGTAATGGCCCGAGGCACCCAGCTCCACAGTTCGAATTCTGGCTGGGGGACTAGCATTTTGTTTGGTTTATTACCCTCATTGAATCACACTCAGTTCATCATCTTTAAAATGGGAATGAAAAACGTGGCTACCCCCAGGCAAGTTGTTTGCTAAATTACCTGTTCAGCTTTCCGGTCAGCAGGGACCATCAGTGCCAAAGAGGTTAAATGGCTCAAACTATTTATTTAAGACCAGAATAAGCCGAAGCAATGACTTAGAAGTGGAAGTTTCCCAGACCGCAGCAGAGGGGCAAAGCTGAAGCTCCCCTATGGAAGGAGCAGAATCACAATTACCTTGCCCTTTTTATCTCCCCTGATAAAACGGGCAAGGTAAAAGGTTGTCAACCGGAGCAGAAATGGTACAAATCCTTCCTAATGGTCTGTGCCCGTTCCTGAGCGTGTGACCTTGGGTTAGTGACTTCACCACGCCAAGCCTCAGTTTCCCCATCTCTGTAGTGGGCACAATGGCAGTATCTAGACATAGAATTGTCTTTGATATACGAAGTAGCGAAGGGCCCGAAGTTATCGCTCTTAAGCGCCACTTAGACCGCCCCAAGTCCGGCAGGCCTGCGGCTGCTCCCTCCGGAGGACGGCCACCGCCCAGGCCTCAGCCTCGGGCCACGCGGGCCTCACCGCTGCCACACCCCAGGCTCCCAGACCGCGGAGGCCGGCTGCACACAGACCGCGGCCTGGCGCCCCCACCCGCAGTCTCACCCCACTCACCCGTGTAGTGCACCACGCAGGTCTGGCCGCGCTTCGGGAAGGTGCGCCCTAAGAAGACAGAGAGACCGGCTATGTGAGCGGTGGAGCGCGGCGGCGGCGGGAAGCACGCCGGGATCACCCAGCAGGGTTACTCACCGTCTCCGGGGGAGATGGTCTCCACCTGCACTCCCATGGCGGTGGCTGACGCTGGGCGGACGGCGTGGACCAAGAGCGGACCTGGCTGCGACTCCGCGGCTCTGCCTAGTCCCTCTGCGACTCGCCTGCGTACGCGCGCGTCCCCGCATGCCCCGCCCTGCGTGCGCGCTCACACGGGGCGCGCGCGTCCAGGAAATCCGGACTGCTCCGCGGCGACCGGAAGCCCCAGCCCTCTGAATACCTTGGTGTTTGAGGGGCCTTCCTGCCCTCCTCTTCCTGTCTTTGTGCTTGTAGTTTGGCAGGCATCTTCTTAACCACAGTCTGAACAATCTGAGAAATGGGGATAGTAATAGGGAAGCCCGCCACTTACTGGCCGAGTTACTCTGAGCAGGTTCACATTTCTAAGTACAAGTTGTTGTTAAGTGCTGTCGAACCAGTTACGACACCTAGCCACCTGTATATGTATGTATATATATTTCTAAGGAGCAGCTGGTGAGCTTGAAGGGCCGACCTTTCTGTTCGAACTTTGCAGTTCAGACTTTTTGCAGTTCAGCACATAAAACCCAAAGGATGGTGGGAGAAATCAGTGCTCATGTAGTATTATGTTAGTATTCAATAAGAGGCACAAGTCCTGGGCTCTGCTTTCCTTAATTAAGAGGAGGAGTCAGTATTGCTCTATTCTGCGTGAAACCTGCCCACTCTTGTCTGGATTAATTCATTTGTAGTTTACATAAATTTATTCTGAGGGAGCACCTACTATATGCTTGGTATTGTGCTAGATGTTGGGAATATATCAGACTCAGTCAATGACCTAACAATTAATAGTTTGTGAGGAAGAGACGATCAAATGATCACACATGAATTGTTGTTGTTGTTAGGTGCCATCGAGTCCGTAAGGACCCATAGCGACCTTAGTTACAGCAGAACTAAACACTGCCCGATCCTGGACCAACCTCACTACTGTTGCCACGCTTGAGTCCATCGATGCTGCCACTTGGCCAATCCATCTCGTTGGGGGTCTTCCGAATATATAGTTTCAAATCGATTAAGTATTGTGAAGGAGCAGTACCTGGTGTTATGCTATGAAGGACATATAACAGATGCCTAACTACATCCTAACCTAGGAGTTGTGGTGTGGCACTGTGGGTTAATGAGCTGTACTGCAACATCGATTTGAACTCAACATCAGCGGTTCAAGCGCACCAGCCACTCCTGGAAAACCCTATACAGGGTCACTATGAGTCGGAACTCGACAGCACTTAACAACAACAACAAAGAACAGTACATGCATAGGCACTGTAACCCAAGGGAGAATTGTGACACAGTCTAGGACCTGAAGAAAGCCAGATCTGTACTAATCCATTTCTGGTCTTCCTGTTTGTGCTCCTGTAGAATTTAAAAAACATAATCTCAAAGCTTTCTGCACTATTCCCACCAAGAGGCCCATTTCCCTAGAATCGGGATGAGTTTGTGAATGATTAAGGAGTTTTTATATTAGTTTAGTATATGGGCTGTAACAGAAACCAAATTAACAGTGACTGAAATGAGACCATTTGTTTATGTCTTTCCACATTTAGAATGGTATCCTTTGATACATAAAAGCTCTCCATTTGATGATGTCTGATTTTTGTCATTTTGCTTACTTTACTTTTTTGCTTGTGTTTTGAGGGTCTTGTGTTAGAACCTATTGCTTCACCCAAAGTCTTAAAGATTTTTGAAATTTAATAAGTGTTCTGTTTTTGTTGCTGATGTTGAGCAAAACACAAACCAAATCAGCTGTTTCTACATATACAATTCAGTGACATTGAGGACATTTTTTGAGTTATGCAACCATTTTCACGCTTTTTTTCTGAGTTGTCCCTCTCCATTAACGTAGCGTAGAGTTGGGCTGCTAACCTCAAGGTCAGCAGTTCGAAACTATCAGTCATTCCACAGGAGAAAGTTGAGACTTTCTGCTCCTGTAAAGATTTACAGCCTCGGAAATTCTATTCAGTGTCACCATGAGTCTCAGGAAAATAGTTTCAGGGGCTCATCTAATCTTTCTTCATGGCTCCAAGAAGGCTGAATTCCTTGAGAGTTTGAAATTCTGTACTGCATTTCCCCTTTTTAGATCAGCATTCTTCTATGGACATTTGATTGAAATGTTTTGATGGTATCCAGGCACCATCCAGTTCTTCTCGTGTCAAGGCACAGGAGTTATTCATGGAAGCGATTAGCCACACACATTATGTTGTTGTTAGGTACCGTCAAGCAGCAACTCATAGAGATCTTAAGCACAACTGAATGAAACACTGCCAAGTCCTGCACCAATCTCACAATCATTGCTATGCTTGAGCCCATTGCTGCTACTGTCACTGTTCCAATCCATCTCATGGGGCTCTTTCTCTGACTCACCACTTTATAAGCACGATGTCCTTCTCTGGGGACTGGTCCTTCCTGATAATATAGCCAAAGTATGAGAGATAAAATCTGGCCATCCTGGCTTCTAAGGAGTATTCTGGTTGTACTTCTGCCAACACATATATGTGTTTCTGTCAGTCCATGGTACTTTTAGTGTTCTTTTCCAACTCCATAAATCAAATGCATCAATTCTTCTATATTATTCATCATCCAACTTTCAGATGCATATGTTGTTGTTAAGTGTCGTCAAGTTGTTTCTGACTCATAGTGACCCTGTATAGTGTTTCTGAGGAGTGGCTGGTGAGTTTGAGCCGCCAACCTTGTGGTTCAAGCCAACCTTGCCGTACAGTGCATTATCCTACAGTGCCAAAACCAGGACTGTTCAGATGCATATGAGACTACTGAGAAAATCGTGGTTTGGGTCCAGCGCCCCTTAGTCCTCAAACTGACGTCTTTGCTTTTGAACACTTAAAATGTTTTGTGCAGCAGATTTGCCCAATGCAATAAGTCATTTGGTTTCTTGGCTGTTGCTTCCATAAGTGTTGATAGTTGATTCGAGCAAAATGAAGTCTTTGACAACTGCAATCTTTTCTCCATGTGTATTGATGTTATTTATTGGTCCAGTGGTGATGTTATTTTTTGGTCCATTCTATATCTTTCTTCTATTCCTGACACTCCTTCTTCCCCTGTTGTTCCAGGCAAATAGAGATCAATTGTTGCTCCCTGAATGGCCACTTAAAATCTTTTAAGAAACCAGGTAGTATGCATGGACCTATAGAAACACTAAATATTAGACCAATTAACTGAAATGCTTCATCAAACCATAACCCTAATCTTCCAAACCAAGAAATCTAATCCCATAAGGTTTTTGGTTATATATAAGCAGTCTAGTAACTACTCTTTTTTTTTTTGGCCATTTTTGTAAATATACTTTTTCCAGTTCAGTTATTGACAGTTGTATAACTTATTAGCATTAATTACACTACATAATGAGTTGTGCACCCCTATTCTCAGTCAATGTGATACTTCCAGCACTGATAACTTTGTTCTCCATATATTTTCGTTTTCTTGTCTTTTTATAGAAGTGAGGTTGTACAATAATATTTGCCCTTTTCTGATTCACTTATTTCACTCAGTATGTCTTAAGCTCCATCCATGTTGTATCATGTATTAATACCTCATTTCTCCTACTGATTGAGTAGTATTCCATTGTATGTAGGTACCACAATTTGTTATCCATTCATCTATTGATGGGCATTTAGGTTGTGTCCACCTTTTGACTATTGTGAAAAGTACTGTAATGAACATTGGCTTATAAGTCTCCAAATGTCTGCTTTCAAATCTTTTGGGTATATATCTAGGAATGGAACTGTTGGGTCATATGTTAATTCTGGAGTCCTGGTGAGGCACTATAGGATGATTACTGGACCGCAAGGTCAGTTTGAACCATATGGTCATCGATTCAAACATACCAGCCACTCTTTGGAAACTCTATACAGGGTCACTATGAGTCTATGGAACTTAGCATAGTGACCCTGTACAGGGTTTCCGAGGAGCAACTGGTAGGTATGAACCTCCAACCTTTTGGTTTGCAGTCCAGTGCTTATCTTACAGTGCCACACCAGCTATTCTGGTAGTAGTGGTGATGGTGATTAAGTGCCTTGGAGTCGGTTCCAGCTCATAGCAACCTTGCATAGAGTTTCCGACGCTGTAAATCTTTACAGAAGCAGAAAGCCTCATTTTTCTTCCTTGGAATGGCTGGTAGTTTTGAACTGTTGACCATGAGGTTATCAGGCTGTAACCACTAGAAGTGGGAGTGAAATGGCACTTCATTGTGGTTTTGCTTTGCATCTCTCTGATGTCTAATGGTGTTGAGCATCTTTTCATGTGTTTGGTGGTCACTTAAAAGTCCTGTTTGGTGAAATATCTATTCAAATCCTTTGCCCATTTTATAATTGGGAAACTTTATATATATTTTGGTTATTGAAGTTCTTATCAGATATATGGTTTCTGAAGATAGTATTCTAGATGATTTCTTGTCTTTTAATTTGACAAGGATAGGGGGAGTCTTTTGATGAACACAAGTTTTAAACTTTCATGCAGTCCTGGTGTGGCACTGTAGGATAAGCACTAGACTGCTAAGCACAAGATTAGTACCTTCCCTGCTCAGCATCAATGGCATCAGTCATCAATACCACTGCATCCTGGTACTGAACTACCTACCTGCCTTGTTTCTGCTCGGGGGAAATATGCACAACTCTCTCTGGCCAAGACCATGGAACACTTGTTAGAGGTCCTCTTTAGGAGGGCAAGTCAGCCTTACCTAGAAAAAGGGATGAGATAGACTCTACCCAACCTTTACCCTCCCCTTCTCTTCTCACCTTTTCCAAAGGAAGGCAAGGTCAAGGAACCAAATGCCTATATTGGATCTGAGTGGAGCACTGTGTGAAGTAGGAAAGAACAGGGACATATGAAAGGAAATAGTCCATGTTTACATGAGTCCTGTTGAAACAAAGCCTGGCTGGCCTGGCCGGCCAACTGACAATAGACTAATAGCGGACAAACCCGTCCATCGCTTGTTGGCATCTGAAGTGCTATCCAATTTCTCTGTTCGTCAGTTAATCTCAGAACTTCCTAGTTCATGCTGGGGGTTTGAGCAATCCTCTGGAGCAAGGACTTGTTTGACATT